GTCAAGCTGTAAATTGGTTGAGGGATACACTGATTGTTTATTATCATCACGACATTTAGCAACTAGCCCCTCGAAAAAGAAATAGCACTGTCAGAAATTACGTTTGACCACCTATACATAGCCCAACAAGCGAAATTTGACTGTAGAATCTTTGTTATCCAATGCTGGGTGATGCGAACCGACTTCGAGCTGTCAAATCGATCCATTTTTTTACATACAAAGAATTAAGAGGCGAGGGGATTTAGGAGCAATATCTTATAGCAAAGTTGTTTATTATTCAGTTCCAACCTGGATCGGGTATCAAGATCGGGTCTGCTTGTTTTCTGACGGAGGAGGTAAGATTTGAGCGATTCATCACTGCAGAACGTTAGAGGAGACCGCATAAATGGAGGATGAGATATACCGAGCTGCGGTCCAATGCACAGTGTTGCTTTTTGCCGTTTTCGTGCGCTTTTTTAATAGCTTCTCAAAAATTGATTTTAGAGGTATAGTTTGTTTAAAGATGTTTTTGCATATGTTAATCCGCTTCTTTTAATGTAGACGGTTTGGTGATTTTTTAATATTTTTTTATCTGATTCAGATAGAGACTTAACGTTTTGAATAAAGTTGTAGCAAATGTTATTTTAAGCAACTTTGCTCAAAACCTAAAATTTCTAGCTCTTATAAATTGCGAGATATGTATCATTTTTCGTGAAAGGCCCCTTTAAATCATGTTTTTTTAGTATAACTGATTTTCTAGGCATCCTACAATTTTAGTTTCTTCTACAACTATATTTTGCATGTTTAAACACATGCTTTTGCTGAACATTGTAGCTAATTATCTCTTGAACCAAAAGATTTATTCTTAAATAATCGATATTTATAGGGGTATTTGCTTCTCAAATAACTATTTAGGTGAACTGAGATGTTTTCTAGATTTTCGATATTTTTAACATATTCTACAAAATTATTTGCCGTACAAAAATACATATTTTTGCTGAACATTGTAACATGCTATCATTAAAATTAAAATATGTGTTCAAAAATTAGACATTTGCAGGAGTTTTTTTAGTTATTAAAAAACACCTAAAATATCACGTGCTGCCATATGTTTTTATAATTTTTCGACAGTAAAATAAGTAGAGATTCAGAATCCTTCCTAGAATTTTGCGCCAATTTGCGCGGGAAATATTTATTTGAGGAGCAAATGCCCCTAAAAATATCGATTATTTAAGCATAACTTTTTTGTTTCAAGAGATAATTAGTTGCAATGTTCAGCAAAATATAGTTGTAGAAGAAAATTGTAGGATGCCTAGAAAATCAGTTATACTAAAAAACATGATTTAAAGGGGCCTTTCTCGAAAAATGATACATATCTCGCCATTTATAAGAGCTAGAAATTTTGAGTCTTGAGCAAAGTTGCTTAAAATAATATTTACTACAACTTTATGGAAGACGTTAAGTCTCGATCTGAATCAGATAAAAAAAATATTTTTTGATCTCACTTTTAGGTAGATTAATCACCAAACCGTCTACATAAAAAGAAGCGGATTAACATGTGCAAAAACATCTTTAAACAAGCTATACCCCTAAAATCAATGTTTGAGAAATTATTAAAAAAAAACGCACGAAAACGGCAAAAAGCAACACTGTGCAATGTAAGAAAATGGCCTGATGTACAAGTTATAACGATAGAGCCCTGCAATCTTCATCGTAACGATTATTTAAAAATAAACTCAGTTAAGCTTTTAATACCGGCCCTGTTTGAATGATCTACAAAATGTTTGCTTAGAGTCGTGTTGATCAACTTTGATGTTGACATCAAAGCAGACGGACATTCTTGATTAGGATTTAATCCAAGGATAATACCGGTTGGAGCTTACCTCCATTAAAGTCTCTCTGAACTCGGTCAAATGGTCGGGACAAATGGCCCAAAGACTAAACGTCGAATGACAAAAGGTCGAAACGACAAAGTTTTGAAGGTACAAAAGTTCGAAGGAACAAACGGTCTAATGGACAAAAGGTCGAATGATGAGAAAGGGGTGAAAAGGTCGAATGGACAAAAGGTTGAATAATGCGAAGGGGGACAAATGGTCGCATGGTTCAAAAAGGGGCAAAAGCTCTAATCAAAAAATGGTCGAATGGACGAAAGGTCGAATGTTCAAAAGAACGAATGGAGAAATTATCTAATGGGTCCAAAAGGGACAAAAAGTCAAATGGTTTAAAGAGGGTCACAGGTTGAATAATTAGAAGGAAGACAAAAGGTCGAATGGACTAATAAACAAATGGTTACATGGTCCAAAATGAGACAAAAGGTTGATTCTACAAAAGTTCGAATGCCGCATAGAGAGAAAACAATATAATAACACACACAGAGATTTTAAGAAAATAGAAGAAAATTATATTTCATACAAACAAGCACAGTTCTTTCTAATAATGATATTTTGATGGTTGATGACACTGGGTATTAAGATTCGATTATTATCATTTTCTCTTCTTTTCATCTCTGCTAGTTCTCTCTTAAGACTTTCAGTTGTATCCATCGGAACAGTATTCGTAACAGCAACAGGACTTTAATATTTTTTTACAAGCAAATGTTGGATCAATCGGCTTACAACCTTAATGCAGATTGTATAGTTTTTTTTAATGCTCTTCAAATCAACAGTTGCACTGACACAAAAAGCTTTGATTGCATTATCAATATTTTTCCTCATTCTCATCACTACTGGTTCTTTGATATAATCAACAACATGATCGATTTTGATGATTAGTCATTTAATATTCAACGTAAAGGCTCAAGCGCAAAGACAGCGGAAGCGGAAATGCCCGATCTGAGTAAGCCTACTTGTCGGATTGAAAACTAGTTGGAGCCAAATCGACTTTAGTTAGGCATCTTGATGTAATTTGTTACAACTGTCAAACTTGCCGTTTTTTTAATGCTTTATTATTGAGATTTTTAGCCGTAGGCTAGTTCATCTCTTAGATGTCGTAAGTCTGGCAAGTATTCGTTACACTATTTGCCATCTAGCCAATCTTCACAACAAAATGTACCATAATTGGACCATTAGTCCCTCTTTGAATCATTCGGCGTTTTTTTTTTTCATTCAACGTCTTCTCCCCTTCTCATCATTCGATCTTTTGTCCATTCGATCATATGCCCCTCTTCTCATCAACATGTTGTCTCTTTTTTAATAATTAGACATTTTGTCCATTCGACCTTTTTTCCATTCGACCTTTTTTCCAATCGACCTTTTTTCCATTCGACCTTTTTTCCATTCGACTTTTTGTCCATTCGATCTGTTTTCCATTCAACCTGTTATTCATACAACCTGTTTTCCATTCAACCTTTTGTCATAAATTTTGTTGTGAAACCCACCTTTTGTTTTTCAACGTTTTTTCATACATTCGAAATTTATTATTTAGCGAGATTGTATGACAAAAGGTCGAAAACACAAAAGGTCGAAGGTACAAAACGTTGAATGACGAAAGTTCGAATGACAAATGGTCGAAAGTACAAAAGGTCCAAGGTACAAATGGTCTAATGGACAAAAGGTTGAATGATGAGAAGGAGGACAAAAGATCGTGTTGTACCTTCGAACTTTTATTTTTTCGACTTTCTATCATTCGACGTTTTTTCATCAATTTTGTTGTGAAGCCCACCTTTTGTAAAACAATTTAAATGGATAAGTTAGAGAGATTGTATGACGAAATGTCGAAAGGACAAAAGGTCCAATGACACACCGTTGAATGACAAAAGGTCAAAAGCATAAAATGTCGAAGGCAAAAAAGGTCGAATGGATAAATGGTCAAATGTAAAAACATGTCGAATCGACAAAAGGTCGGATGGATAAAACGTTGAATGATGAGAAAGGGGAATAAAGGTCGAATGGAAAAAGGTCGCATGATGAGCAAGAGGGACAAAAGGTCGAATGGTGGTAAATTTTGTTGTGAAGACCACTTAGCCGTATGGAAAATAGTGGAAAGAATACTTGACATACTTAAGACACCGTTACGTTGAATATTAAATGACTAATCGAATGTTTTTTTTTTTTGGTTAATGAAAAGAAGGAATAATATGTATAATGCAACTATAGCTTACAGTGTTAATGTAACTATAGATTATTTTTCTCTATTTAGGAGATTTTCAGCCGCAGGCTGGTTCATCTCCGAGTAACTATAGATGCTGATAGAAAAAAATCTACGCAATCTGCAATAAAATTGTAAACCGTTTAGATCAACATCAGATTGTAGAAACACCTAATAAAGTCATTCCAATACTGTTCTGAAGGATTAAACCAGAGGTTTTAAGAAATAACGAGCAGAGATGTAAAGAAGTAAAAATAATGATAAAAACCATAAAAAACATTATTATTCGAATTTGTGCTTGTTTGTAAGAGGGGGTCCCGGAGAAAGAAAATAAATAAATTACAGAGTTTAAGTATCTCAGAGTTCAGTGTCGATTGTTTTAACAGTAAGGAAGGTGAACGAAGTTGTGGTTAATTTCCGAGAGAGAGAGAGTCAATGTCCGTAGCCTGCGGGGTTGTCATCGTTGTTCTTCCGTTTGACATGTCATTTAGAGAGCTGGTGTTGTCTAAGTGCCGTCGTTCGTCCGTTGTGGTGTCATTGTTCGTTGCGGGGTTCTACGTATATTGATAATAGCCTGTGTCTTTAAGGAAGTCGAGAAGTGATCTTTTCCTGTCTGGGTCATTGGATAATCCGTCTCTGATGCTGAGACCGATACCGTACTGGTCTCGGAGGATTTGATGTGCAGGGCAATTTATTATGAAATGCTCAACTGACATTTTGGTTGAGTACCCCATACATTGTCTGTGGAATCCATCACGGGATCCGAGATCGTGTGAGAATCTGGTGTAGCCGCAGCGTAATCTGGACAGTACTCTTTGGTCCTTCCAGTTTTTGGTGTCGAACCAGCATTTCGTATCTCCTTTTATTTTGCGTAAGAAAGGGTCTTGGGTATTAGTCCATTTATTGTCCCATGCCGAAGCGATGATCGTTTTGATTCAGATTTTTAAATCCGCTGCAGGGACTTCCGGTTCCACTGGGGTTTTAGATCTGCCGATCGCTGCCAGCTTGTCCGCAGCCTCGTTTCCACTGATATTGCAGTGGCTGGGAACCCAGACATATACGGTGTTACTGTTCGAAGCCATTCTGATTGCTTGCACCAACGGGTGTCGGTTCTTCGGACTCTCAAGGGCCTTCAGCACACTGGCCGAATCGGTAATGATGGCCTTCCAGGAAAAACTGGACTCCGTAACGGCTGAGAAGATGGCAGCTGCCTCAGCCGAGAAGATCGATGTAGGCTTACGAAGGCCTCTGCTGGTATCTAGGTTGGGGCCGAATACGCCATAGCCGACTTCGCTCGCTGTTTTTGAACCATCCGTATAAATGAGCTCGTATCCATTCAGCGTTGTTCTAATGAGTTCGTTGAAGCGCGGCACCACAGTGTGGAGGTTCAGATTTTCTTTGGTTGGTTTATTTAATGCCCATATGATCTTAGGTGGAGAGTAGTCCCACGCTTCGTCTCCTACCCAGTGGACCCTGGACACTGGGGGGAGGTTCTGGTGGGTGAAAACTTGAAGGAGCTTGTTTGCCTCTTTGAGGAGGAACACTCCCTCGTCATCACCGGTCGTCTTCTCCAGGAAACTAGTGGCTTTGGAACATACGGCTTTTGCGAATATGTATCGAAAGGGGAGGATTCCAGCCTCGACACACGTGGATGCTGCGGGAGTGCAAGGAAGAAGACCGGACACACGACGGATGCATCGGTTGAAAGTTGGTGCGAGTTTATCGGTTACATTATCGAAATTTCTACACTGGTGTGCTTGTTGGCGATAATTCGTAACAGGTTCAATCGACTTTCGCATTGCTTTTTTATCCGGTCGCAGTGAAACTGAAAACTCAGATGACGGTCTAGATATACTCCGAGAATGCGGATCGTGGCCTCGAAAGGTATTACTTCTCCGTCGATTTTGGGGGGGATTCTTCTTCGCGCGGTGTTTTCCTAGGCATAGGTGGGAGAATTGACTGTTGGATGGCGATAGTTCGAATCCGACGGATGATGCCCAAGCATGCACTGCTTCGATAGCGCTTTGGAGTTTCCTGCAGATCAGGGTGGGTCTATGCCCTGTTGTGAGAATGACGATGTCATCCGCAAACACAAAAATGAAGACACCTTTTGGTAAGCATTCGAAGTCTCCGTTCATGGCGATGAGGAAGAGGGTTACCACCAGCATGGAGCCTTGGGGAACGCCAGTTTCCTGCGGAAAAGAGTTTGATTTTGTATTTCCGATGCACACCTGGAAAGTTCTGTTCGTGAGGAAGTTGCGAATGAAGGCAAAGGTGTTACCGCCGATGCCCAGCTGGCCAGTGTTGTTAAAACCCCCGGAGTCCAAGTGCGGTTGTACGCCTTCGAAAGGTCCAGCGTGGCCAAGTCCACGTGGAGGCCATTTTCGAGGGCGTAATCCAGAACTTGTCCGAGAGTGGCGAAATAAGTACTTGTGCCACATCCTTGGCGAAAAGCATGTTGGCGGTGGTCGAGGAGGTCGTTGTCCCGGATGAATTGCGTTAGTCTTCGATTGACCATCCGGTCGATGACCTTGCTGCAGCAGCTGGTCAGGGATAAGGGACGATATCCACTCGGTTCCGTTCGCATGGAGTCCTTCTTAGTCTGTGTGAATTATTAAATTGTTTTCCCTTTTTGTCCCATTCGACCTTTTTTTTTCCTTTTTGGACCATTTGACTATTTGTGCATTAGACCTTTTGTATACCTTCTAATTATTTGACCTTTTGTCCATTCAACCGTTTATCCATTAAACACTTGGTCCATTCGACTTTTTGTCCATTCGACCTTTTGTCATTCGACGTTTTGTCTTTCGACCATTTGTCCCACAACCGCTAGAGTAAGGCAGTGTGAAAAATTGTATAGAAGTTGAAATTAAGCGAGGGCCATTTGAATGAGAGTACGAATAACGCGGGTATTTCTTTTGCCAAACTCCTAGTTGGTGAGATATGAGGAGTTAACGAAGAGGTTGCCCCACCTTCACTGGCAAAAGTAGTGCGTGCTTGATTCGTAATGTCATTCAAATAACCCTAACTCAATTTCAACTTCAATACAATTTTTCACACTGCCGCACTCGAACGGAACAAGATTTTCAGGTATATAAGAATGACCGGACCAACTTGCTTTCGTGAACGGTATGCTGTAGGTAGTGTTAAACCGCAGACAGTACTTGAGCAAGTCAAGTGCGCACTTATATTGCCAGTGAAGGTGTTAACCTCTCTTCCATCCCCAGCGTTTGGCTAAATAAGTGCCCACTTGAATGGCATACTGTCATTCAAATGGCCCTCGCTCAATTTCAACTTCTGTACAATTTTTCACACTGCCGCCCAAATAACAATTTTGATTTTATGAGGGTTCTGTAAACCATAATTTTGACTTATCGCATGCTTTAAAACCACTATAAAACTTAAAACGTTACTTGGGCCACACTCTAACGGAACTATCAAATTCTATTTTCCTCATAACTTTTTCTAGCTAATACGTCTCATATTGACATGAGCAAAGCATTTTCCTCCCAAATTTCTTAAAACATAAACAATTACCAAAATACTGCTTAAAATGGATAAATATCTAATAAACTATAGAAGATTATAAACTATAGAAGATTATGTACATTTTTCAGTTGTTGCACAGATATAAAGTGAGGTTAAGCGACGCTACTGAACAGGCATTATAATATTGTATGAAGCAATCATGTTAAACCTCCTTTGTTTCAGCCAAAACAATTCATATAACATTTTTAACCCTAGTAGCACGCTTGTCAAAAATCGAATGTGGCAACTTCTATACAACTTATATCAGTCATAAACAAGTTGCTGCAACTTATTGTGACGGAAATGTGCTACTCGGGAAGTAATGTAATGATGTGAAATTGTAAATACACGATTTTGTCAGCCCCTCCACGCATCAGACTTTGATCTTTAAATAATTGCACATAACCGTAATTCCAAACCTTTCTCATTCTTTTTCAAGATGGATTGTTTAAGGTGCAATAAGATCATTGAAAAAAATATGGGCTTTCCAAGAGCATTAGAAAAGATTTTAAAAAAGGGGGCTGTCAAAATCGGGTCATTAACGTATTCTATTCAATAAAATTCAATTAAGTGTCAAAAGTAAACCAAGATAGATTCATGAAAATCACTAAAATGTATGTAACGCCCTAATTCCAACGATTTATTCCTTCTCATCTTTCGTTCCAGTGCCACATGGCTGCCATTGTTGCGGCTTCATCATCTGTAAGTTATCCCCTAGAGCTCCGTAACGAAGTGCAAACTTTCTAACAATTGGATTATTTCCACTTCTCTCTTACAGAATAGTAGTTTATTCGATAGTACTCACCATCGTCGTAACAATCGTCAATCATTCGGTCAGCACAGCCATCTCAGTCATCATCATCATTACCATCACCATCATTACTGCAACAGCCACTTCTACCGTCATCGATCCACGCGAACCATCAACCGAGGCGGAGGAGGAGCTCGGGATGAAGGACTCCATCAGGATTGTTGTGGTACAAGTGGCATCGGTGGCGGCGGTTGCAACAATCAAAACAATAACAGTAACGGTAGTAATACAAACAACAACAATAATAATAGTCACAGCAGAGCAACAGGAGGTGGCAGTGGAAAGCGTTGTACTTTTGCGGCTACCACGACCACTATTCCGAACAGCAGCAGCGATGCCGGTAGCAGTCGGTACGTCAGTCGTAAAAACATAGCGAGAACACCGCCCACCTCTGCCCTCGTGAGTCACGGTCCACGAGAACCGGTACAATTTGATGACAATCCACACATAACAATGCACAGCCAAAGCTCAAATAGTAGTACCTCAACACTGAGGATTCTCGAGTGAGCGGCAAGTTGGTGTTGAGAAGGGTGAATTGTAAAGTTTCTTTTTTACGATTGACTGATCAAGAGGTAACAGTTGCTTCAGAAATATGTCATAAACTAACCTGAACTTTCCTAAACGGGAGCCAAATTCAACCCTGAGTAAACAGTTACAGCTTGCTCAATCAACTACCGAGGAAAGAGAGTTCCAATGCACCCTCAGAATATATGAAATACGGGTCCCAACAAACTGTAGACACTATTATAGTGACTGATAGTCCAGCAGTACCACACACACTTACGGGAGTGTAGAACAAACTCATAGTTTATTTCCACATGACATCGGAACGCGAAAGCGTAAACCACTCGACCATTTCACAGAATTTGTGTTTTGCGCCAAACGGAACCACAAAACAACTTGGCACTGATCCAGCTATAAACCGACTGGAACAGAATTTACGACAACAAGTGAGTGAGTGAGTGATAAACACCCATGCATCCTCCAACCATTTTGGCATCACCGAAACGCAGACAATTTATTCAAGCTTTACTGAACGCAGATCCGAAAACGGTTGAAACAATATTTAGTTGTGCAGTAGCAATTATAGCTTTTTTCAAGTGGAAGAGTAGATTTCAATAACAGCAAAAAGTGAAATATCGTTGCACAAAACAATCATCCTTAATTACTTTTAATTTTATTTCTCAATAATTCAGTCTATGAACTCATGTTCTTTATTTCTAGAATGTTTACCGTTGAATCTCTAGTCAAAATTGAATCTGTTAATAGATTGGAGGATATCGCATAAATTTATTTTAGTATGCCAGTCAGGGCGTCACAATATCAGCTTCAATCGACAAAATAGATGCGATGAAGAGACTGTTACCTTTCTTTTTCTGTTGAAGTCGAACAACTTCGCAGCATTCTATTAGCGTTGACGGCACCGTCGAAAAATTTGCTCTTCCAGCAAATATAGACAGTTTCCTATGGGAATTTTCGGTGGAGTGAAAGGATAGTACAAAGTCCGCCATGTTTCACGCACAGTCTGACGTTTGCTTATGGATTTTCTCATAGGAGTAAAGAGCTACAGAGTCGCCGTCAACGCCAATAACCTCAGTAGGCGTCGAAAAACAAATTTTCAATCGCTTGTCTCTCTTTCTCCCGTGGCATCATTGGCCTTTCCTTCAAGCTTCGGTGAAGCGGACGAGTGATAAAGCGCTCGACTTTGGTATTTTCGTCTTTCATGAAACACATCAACAGAGGTTTCATGACGCAGGGGAAATGCTCTAATGTTGACCTATGGATCTAATATTGGGCCAATTGCTAAAAATCTGCTATTTATCAATTTTATCTAGATGAACGCGTCATTGGGACGGTACTAATGGATATTTTTTGCCGAATTTATGTATAAGCCAAATTAGGGGCATTTAGGCCGACATTACAAACATTTCCATTTCCAAATGAAAATATATATTTAAAGCATTTCACTCGTGAAACTCTTGAAGATTACACGTAATATGTTTAATCTTGCATCCACATATCTTTCTAAACAAAAAGTAACGACATAACGCATATTAAACAAATTGAAAGAACGGGGATAGAGTGTGGCTAAAAGGGATTGAAAGCTAATGAGGTTTCGTTTAACTAGAAAATCGACGTTACTTTCATTGAAAGCGATGAGTAAAGCAACGACGAGAAGATCCACATCCAGCCTTTCATTCTAAGCGTGCTTCTTTTTCATTATGGTTTCATTCTGATAGTCTAGCTAGGCGTTATAAGTGCTCCGAAAGAACCAGTATCATTATTTTACTAAAGACACACAGTTGAAAAATAAGCACTGTACAGCACTGGTTGAGGATTTGTTAGAAACAAGTTAACGGTATGATAAAATCATACCCCTCACTCCTGTTGAAGAGTTTCTCTATCATAAAGTCTCAAAACTTCAAAGTTCATACCATTTAACGACAAACCTAATAACCATTGAACAGTTCATTCATCGACTTTACAGAAATCGATGCTTAGCCTTCTCCACAAATTGATACTTAGCCTTGTGGAAAATTTACCAATTTACCTACCATATAAAAAATAGCACCGTGTTTCTACACTTTAATTTTCCGCAATCCAACATAAGCCAGATACACTCAACGGCAAAACTCGCTGTTGAAAATGAAACAAAAGACCCAAGTTATTCTTTAAATTATTCCCGTGTGAATTTATTTACCATCTACCTAACTGTAAGAGAAAAAAAACCTTTCTGACCGAGTGCCAGCAAGTCACGTCAGAGTCTCTGCTGCTCCCTGAGGCATCAGTGCGCTAAAAGCCGCGAAATAATATGGAATAAAATAACTTCCCTCACTCTTATTTCCACACCATTCAGAGACCCACTTCCGGTCGGTAGTGGAGCATACCTGCCTCCGGAGGCAATTTTATACTTGAGGAAGAAGGAAAAACAATGAAAGCCGACCGGCGGTGCTGCGGTAATGAGGGAGCTGAATTAGAATTTAAATATAATTACGAATGTGCAGCAGAAAATGGCAGCACTGAAACAAATTGAAAAGTACTTATCGTTAGATTGATTAAATCATATACACCCAAAACATTTTTTAAGTGGGTACATTTTTCCAAATTTATTTTTCTGTGAAGTAAGAAAACTTCTGTAGGAAACACAACACACAAAAAACTACAAGGGACAGCCCTATGGGGTTGTACGCAATGGCGACGTAGAACTACGTGGTCTTATATAAAAAATCTAATTTGTTAACTACAGCAGGAGCTTGTGTTTTGTGTAGGAATAGGAATTTGAGCGGGGTTCTTTCTGTTTCTATTCTTTAGTATGACGCGCTTGACATAGATGGCCCACATAAACTCACGAAGAGCTACTGATTCCGATCAATAGCGGTGCGGCTTCTTCCTCCTTCTATGGATGCTCATGTGGGCTGCAGCTCGCTGCTTACAGGCAGCTTTTCCGTTGTGTACTGGAGAACAATGCACGTGCCGAAAGCACTGCTACTGCTGATGCCGACGACCAGCCATCACCACACACGATAATTGGAACTGAGTTCGATCAGCGGTTGAGGTCAGCCTTGATCGCTAGCTGCTTGCGGGGAGCCTTTCGTTGGGTACTGGAGAACACCACCACTCACCACGCGGTCACTGAATAAACACCGGATGTAATTCAACTTTGAAATCTATGTTAGGGAAATCGCTTTTCGCAGGCAATCAGTGATAATTTTAACTATCATAGCAACAGTTGCACATTCGTGAATTTCTTAAAAGTGACATTTTAAAAATGTTAAAGTCGTAAATTTATCAGATGCGAAGGAATATTTCTGATCGATTTTTAATAAAATTATTGAGATTGGTCCAGGGGCAGCTGAGTTATTTACGTTAAAAATCTTTCATAATTTTGTTACATGTTCCATTTTCGGTTTTCACAAAGTGCACTCCCATATATAAATCACAGACGTAGTCCTACGTCAAAATCAGTTTTGTCTCGACCCTTTCCGATTTAATTGATCCTTTGCTCATATGTTGGCTACTACAAGTGCGCAAAACAGTCAGGTCAGGCCAATGAGTCGTTTTCATATGAATATGAACAGCCATCCGCCTCATCATTCACTGCCTCAAATGATTGGAAAGCAAACGTGTCACTGACAGCAGAGCACTTAGTCAGTAGCTCAGCCAGCACGTTTATTTTTCCATGATGGTACCCAATCCTAGTTTTGAATGACTGAGCGTACATTTTCTATGGAAAAATGCCTCAATTACATGCTGTATGCGCGAGGGCAAGCGATGTGAGCCGCCCCTTCGTGAGTAACTGAATGTTTTGTTGGCTCTTTCATTGCCTCGTTCTTTACCGTTTGGTACATACGGTCTGGATAGAGCAATGAATTGAATAGAGCAGTGCCTTCACACTCAGCCTAAGCAGTCAATAATTTTACGCTCTGGCTAATACCGAAGACAGCATATCAAGAAGACTGGCAACTTTGCCTGAATCTGAGCGACAGACACAGTAGTGCCATAGAGGTATACTACCGATCATAAATTTAAGGACACCCCCAAAAAACCATGCAAATATGTTTTGTTCAATGATCTCTCATTTTACGTTCAATTTTCGATCTCCAAAGGTTATTTGAATGGTATGAATGGTATAGCATAATTGTTCTACTACTACTTTTATTTCAAAATTTGGCCAACCCAATTCTGAGAAAATCAGTCACGATTCTTCAGATTAAATTTTGAAAAATATTATAACTTTGGGTGAACTTTTAGCACACAAAATTTGAAAACTATATTGAACAATTTGCCTACGAAAAAATTTCCATTCAATACCTTTCAAATGATCTAAAGAGGACGGAAATTGGACGTAACATGATAGAGATATGCACATAACAAATTTGTCATGTTTTTTTGGGGGTGTCTTTAAACTTATGATCGGGAGTGTAACTCTAAGACTAGTAGGTCTCGAAGAAACGTGCTCAACTTTTTGGCTCAGCTCTGGTACTATACTCGGTCCCAAGCTAATCGATTCACCCCTCGAAACATAGGAAAATCCACTAATCCCTCATTTTATCGGTCAAACTTTCATAGCGAAGTAAAACAAACATTGTGTAGTACTAGAATTTCGACTAGAATGGGGTACGTTAATCGATTTGCTTGGGACCAATAGGCTAGTCAAGTAGTTAGTCAATTTCAAATCGAAAGTTTCATATTGATTGTTGGTAGTGCTGCGTTCGAGCGAATGTGGAAGCAACGCATAGCAAATGAGCAAATACACAAACCTTTCTTCTGAGGATGGAACCTTTGCTATCCAATTCGTTCGGAGCATTTACCTTTGAGCGTCAGATGACGCGATTGTGCCTGTCTCATACCGGTCGTTTGGGAAAATTGAAGAGTTGCCAGTCTTCTTGATATGTTGTCTTCGCTAATACCCAATGTTGCATTTTTCATTTATATATGTTTTTTTTTTCTATAGCGTAACTTTTAAAAAAGGCTTATTTAAAAACTAATTAACAACTAATCTGATCAAAATGACATTTGACAAGAAGTTGTCCACTCATAAAATATATCACATAACCTGTAGAAAATATGGTTTCTAAGCATAATTTTTAATAAATCAACATAAAAAATTCTTTGTCCAACCGTTCTCAAGTTGTTTCATAATTTCAAAATACGTTTTGATACATTTTGTTGTTAGACATCCCGACCAACATTTTTTTTTCCTTGATTTGATTTCCGTCGATCTTGTTTTCCGTGCTGATCACCAATGCTACCGACGCCAGGGAGGCAGCTCCCACACCTGGACCCTACCTTTCGACCCATCAACTCATGAACCGGGGACCAACAGCTTTACTTCCCTTCCGAAGGAAGGCGTGATCAGAGATGTTATGTCTCAGAACATCCCGGCGGCGCCGACTGGGATTGAACCCAGCCCTGCAGGGGTGAGAGGTAATCACGCTTACCAAACGACCAACATTCGGAAAAGGTCAACAATGTGGTAAATACACAGTTCTCTGTTTTAAAAATTCGCAATA